ACTTTTAGAATTATAGTACAAACTATGAATTCTTGAAATAGTGCAATTCACCGCAAATATAACCAGATGAGCACAAACAAAAGTAACGTTATCTTAGAATTCGAAATCAGCGGGCAATCAAGTACAAATCAATCATTAGTCCATACAAACAACACAATGTCTGGTCATTAAAATCATCCGAATCAATAAGATCTGAAATACAAAGTTCAGCACAATAGTGTTATAGACTGACTGGATTTAACCAATTTTATCACATAAAAAGCATTTAGCGTCACTACATAAACATGAATTACGTGAGTGAAACACACCATATAACAAAAATTCACCAAACTGGTGCTCACCTCTTTTGCAGTTCTCTGTTGAATCATTCAGTATATTTACATGAGAATACGGGCCACTAGTGAAAAAGCCCGATCTTGAGTGACATTGTGCTTCACAGCCTGTTTGTGTTGTTCAAGTATAGTATTAGACTTTCTGATCACTTTGCCGCATCATTTTATAAAACTTCCATCTCTCTCTGAATTCAAGTCTAGCACGCTGCACATGGCTAAGTGGCAACCCCTTGAGTGATTCATATGGTAAAATTAGTTTCTTCGGAAAAGTCATGTTCTTTAGCAGGTTACAGGCTTCCCTGCCGATGAACTTCAGAAAATAAGCTGTGACCTTATCATCAATATCTTTTCTAGTTATGCACCAGGTTTCTAACTGCTCCATATAGTCTTTGAAGTCGTCCCCATTGAAATCAATATCCAACTACCCAAGGTTTAACTATATTGCGACACCAGTATAATAATTAAAAGTATTCGAATTAATGTTCAAACTGAGAATTCCGATATATTACAATGTAAGACAGGTAGAACTAGATGAGCAAAAATGAACATGTTATTTGTAATTAGTAATAAGAGCACAATCAAGTACATAGGAATCATCAGATTGCACAAATGCCACACACGCCTGCGGAGAATGCTGTCAAACGATACCGAGAGTAAGGGATTCTCAATGGATAGTCTATAAGAGACACTCCCTGTAGAAAAGAAGAGAAGTTTTAATATGAAAATTAAGACCCTAATGAGTATGTGTTTAGGAAAATATGGAGTTCTAAGAATACTATATCTCGAGTTTCTCGATCTTCCTATACCACACAAAATATACATACAGACATATATACGTTAAATAAGTAAATAAATTATTCAGAACTAGGTGAAATATTTTTAAGAAAAGAATCCATACGGCTGTGGACTGTGAGAATGTTTACGAATGCAGGTTTCCCATCAGGCCAGCCTTTACAATTTACTCTTCAAGTAGTAGTTGACGTAGATACAGTATTTAAGAGCTCTTGTAATTTCACTTGTATAAATGGATTTTAGTGTACCTGCGTCTCGTTCTACAGGAAGATACAAAAAGAGGATAAGTGGCTAATATTCGGTAAAACAACACTTTCCAGTAGTATATAAGACTTCAAATGTCTATCCGCAACCATATTATCGCATGGGTATCAAAAGACTTATCTACCAACTGACTTCGTGACTCTGCAACGCAGTAAAATTTAAGACCAGGAAGACCAGTCAAATAGCTACGTAAATGAGAAGATACAACTTGGCGGTTCTCAGAGTAAATGAAACCCATTGGACCCAAACTGGACAGAAAAGCTTAGGTACAGGAGAGATGATGCTGTACTCCGATCACGAAGAGGAAAATGCTTCACACACTTAAGGAGTTGCTCTGATGCTGTCCAAAGAAGCACGAGAAGCACCTACATTATGGGAGTCTCATGGATCCAGGATCATCAAAGCATCCTTCAAAATAAAAAAGGAGGAAATTATAATCAATGCTATCCAACATTATGCATCTGCCAATGATAGCAGTCAGTCAGCTACAACGTATAACCAGGCACATATATGCATCGGCCCAAGTCGCCACACCTCACTCATAAGCACAACGCAATGAACACCAAATTCATAGGAGTAGTTACTTCAATGGTAGTAATATATAAAAGAAAGATTATGTATAAGGATATAGTACATGAAGAAAGAGATTAGTTCGTAGAAAGAAAGGTATAAAGTAACTTTAATCTCACGGTTTAAGGAAAAACAAAGTATGTATACACCCACGCCATTGTGATGGATTCTGAGCCACATCATTCACGGTCTCCAACCATCGGTTACGATAATCGCGTGGATCACAACCAAGTAGTCTGCATCTACCAACATGGTTCAGGCCGGAAGTTAGTGACTTCAAGCACTGATGCCACGTTTTGGTTTGGACGCCCATAACTTTCTCCCATCCGTCTCCAACACTATTCATCATTGCGTGTAGTGGTAATTGGTGGTTGGGCATGTGTAGTACGTGACCAAACCATCTCAGTCGATGAAGATTCATGACCTCATCAACTGATTTACCATCATTCACTAACACCATGTGTCTAACCTCACTATTACTTATCCGGTGATCCCAGCAGATGAGAGCAACATTTCTAGCACACCAATGATCAAATATCACTAACCTACGAGTATCCTATACTCTTAATGGTCACGTTTCACAGTCGTAAAGTAGAACAGAGCGAACTGATGCGCTGTGTACACGCCTACGCCATAGGTGATGTATGTTAGCAAAAGCCAAACGAGCTTTCTCAATACGTGCAGAGATTTCGTCAAGCACAAACACATTAGGGTTGAGACTTCCAACATAAGTGAAGTTGTCGACACGTTCGACTATTTTACTCCCTATCCTTAGTTCACGTGTTGACGCAGCCCAGTCCTGAGGCAATATCTTGCATTTAGAGGGGTAGAAACGTATTCTCAACATCCTGGTATTGTTAATTACTACAAAAAGCGTCTTCATCAAACAGGACTATGTCATATGCGTATTCCAAATCGATATGTGGACCTCCTGGTAGGAGATCAATTCCTGAAAATACAGTCGACGAGAGTGTTTTTTCCAACAGTGGGTCTATGGTAAAATTGTACAGAAATGGAGATAGTGGACAGCCTTGTAGGACATCACTTGTACTTGCAAAATCAGATGCGTCACAATCTCTGACTTGACTGGAATTGTTCGAGTAAGGAGCTTTTACAAGGTTTGTGTACTTCTGAAGTATGCCTTTCAATGACAGACTGTGGTAGAACCTCTCGGTCTACAGAGTCAAATGTTGCTTTCAAATCAAAGAAGACCACCATTATCAGACGTCGATAGGCATGTCTTTTCTAAAACCTGACAGAAACGATGACAATAAACACCAATTGTATGAGAGGATGCAATCAATCATAGCGAAGTGCTCAGGGAAGGACCGGATCATTCTGATGGGAGATCTAAACGCCAAAATCGGAACGGATAACACCGGATACGAATATATCACGAGACGACGTGAACTGGCTGAGAGAAAGGATTGAAAATAGTGAGAGATTCGCAAATGTATGTGCATTCAAGAAAATAGCTATAGGTGCCATAATATTCCACAACCAACGCATACACAAGGCTACATCCATCTCACAAAAATTCCGAGACGATTACTTAATGATAATTTTGATGATATGGTGACGCTATTTGATTCATCCTCACACGACCTTTCTTTTCGTACAAGCTAAATACACAGAAGCAAACAAGCAGGTGAAGAGCATTGGAGTTGACTTCGCTAGTCCTTCTATCCCATACATACGAACAAATGAAGGTCAAGGCAACGAGTGTAGCGGCAGACTCTTCATCATCAGGCCTCAGCATACACAAGGGAAGATCCATGATCCTCATATACAACACAGAGAATACCTACCATTCAAACTAGATAACGAAACTCTGGAAAATATGGAATCTTCCACGTACCTGGACAGCATCATCAATGAACAAGGAGGATCCGATAAAAATGTAAAGGCAAGGATTAACAAAACAAGGACAGTATTCATGCAGTTGAACAACATATGTAACTCAAACAACTGTTTGATTGCCAACATTAGTCAGAATCTTCAATACGAACATCATGACAGTTCTACTGTATGGAGCTGGAACTTGGACGACTACTACAGTCATCACCAAAAGTGTACAAGTATTTAAAAACAATCTAGAATCCTGGTAGGCAATCTATCGTCCTTTACTATTGGTAACAGTCGTAATCAAGCAAGAAATTACTAAACAATGAGTTTGGCAAGTGAACACTTTTTTAGAAATAATAAAGACCATAATAGTAAAAGTAAAATTTTTTAACATGATAACTATGGGCTAGACTAAATGACGACATGTAAACGTTATCTCTTTTATGTGAACCACTAATAAAGTTATTGCTCGCTCGGTTTGCTTCTTTATTCCTAAACTGATCACCTTAGACTTTTTTCACAATAACGAACGTGGAGTCGCTAAAACCTTGTTCCTCTCACGGAGTCGTAAATTATTCGAATCCTCTGCCAGATCACTTAACATCCCATCTCCATTACCAATGAAGGGAAGATTCTTCGGAGAAATACTGATCCTGAGGATTAATATAGGTGATTTGATTTATCAATGCCACTGAAGAATAATTGAACAAATCTATCATCCATAACCTCATAAGAGAGGTCGAGGTAAAATAATGAATCGGTAATTATTCCAGACACTACATGATCTGATTTTCATCGCCTTCAGACAACTTAATTTCTAGGAAACAAGGATAATTTTCAACAATCCACAAGTTATTTATCACCTACTCACCAACTTTACTACATTTTTATAGGCTCAAATTAAACGCGTGGTAAATGCATCTTTCTGTTAGGTGCTATCTGAAGATCTCCATCTTTGTGATATCACAATATTTTTAACATACAGTAATTGCAACGGTTAGTTCAATTTGTCGACGACCATTACGGGCGCTCTAGTCAAAAAATTCCGTTAATGGAAGGAATTGAAGTAATTTGTTCACTTAGTGGCGTTTTATAAATTCCTTCTTGCATATGCCGTGTTGTAGTGTGAAACTTGATATGTGGTAAACTTCAAAGTTGTTTGCAGACCTTGCCTATTCGCCAAACTAACCACCAAGTATGCAAAAGCGGCGTAAGAATAATGGTAAAAAAACTGTGAATGAGGAGTTTGATAAAAAGATGAGTGAAGTTTATTGTGTCTGTCGTTCTTCAGACGCTGAACGATTCATGATGTGAGTTACTTATAGGAATGGTAATAAGTATGTAGAGCATGTGACCAATGCGAAGAATGGTATCACGGAGATTGCATTAATGTCACTCCTAAGCAAGCAGAGCAAATAAAAACTTTTTACTGTCCTCAATGTCGATGTAAGTATCCGAAATTTTCACCTATTGTTTGAGCAGGTAGGAATCCGTCTCTGGAGATCGAATATAAAAACACCAGATATCAGAGACCGAAACAAAATCGTCCGAGTTTAAGTCCTAATAACGATGTCAGTACGTTTCCGGACCAACTTCCATCAGGTAAACAGTTCAAGGGAAAACGAAGACCAGATCCTTCCGTCAGTAAATCAGGTAGCGTGTGTTATATAGCCATTTATTTCTTGTAGAAACTGGTACTCGTACTACTCCAATCGACCACACATTACATTTACCGCCTAGAAATATGCGCAAATTCAATTCTCCTGGTCCCGACACGTCTCCTAAATCACCCAATGCCTCAGATTCCAGTACTTCAGCTGTGTATAATCGCGCATACTGGGGACGAGAAGAGCAGTCTGGATTTGGAGAAGATCAAAAATTATCTAGTACATTTGTCTCCAGAAAGCGGTCTGGATCCCCTCGTTTACGCCCTTGCGGTAATTGTACAGGCTGCAGCATACAAGAAGATTGCGGAAAATGTGAATATTGTAGGGACAGAAGAAAATTCGGCGGCCCCAACAAAATGCGTCAAAAATGTAGGTTAAGACAATGTGCTGGAATGAACGCTTCCCGTAGCAGGAATCCTTCTAATTCTTCTCAAGGTGTTGGTTCTCGACGCCGCAAACAACCACCGATACAGTCTACACCCATGGATGCACCACCATCCCATATGCAGTCGTATGCGGACTTCGATGATGAACAGTTCGAAGTGCCGTTAGATTTTTCCCCACGACCATATTCTGATAATATTACACAGTCGTTCCTGTCTCATCACCCTGCAAGTTCAGCTCCATTGGGCAGCAAAATGCGTAGAGGTGACCACCGTATTCCAGCCACTAATGAAATTGACGGAATTACTCATCGGCTTTTTGGACGATTCAGTCACGATGGTAAGTTCTAACATTTCTCATTTTAATAATCTCTGTCTTATTATTTTGCCATTTGTTTTTGGTAAACTTGGGTTCATAAAGTACTGTATACATCTCTGCAGGTAGATATTCTAACGCAAAACTCAGTAGTTTTCCTTCGGTATATGATTCTGCTTATAGTAATGACATAAGTCCTACCGACTATGGTTAAATACCCTCCGGAGATATTAAACGTAATTAAATTAATCACAATGACGATCTAGCCAGTAATAAACGTATAACCCTCTTGGTCGTTTCATACGTTTTGGTGAAATGTAGCGACAATTGGAATATACACGAAACCCACCTGTTTACGGCTTTGACTTTCCATGAAGAAAGAAGGGTGTAGATTATGTACATGATTACTGTAGTACTGAGCACATAGCTTCTGGGTGTCAGTGCTGCCATAAACTTGCTTCCAATTCGAGTTATTTTAAACCTATCCCTACTGTTTGGACAAATGTCATCATATCAATTACCTTGTGGTACATGTATCAGGTCTACTCAAGATGATCATTTTAGGATATACAGTTTGTTTGGCACTTGTGATTCGAAGAAAATATTTCGAATTATATTTCCTAAAGATCAGTCCTTCCTCCTGTCACTCGCGACATGGTTGAAAATGAGTATCTGGGAGATCTTAGCTGTTTAAAAGAGAGTTTAAATGGTCTTGATTTCTGTTCAGATGAAATTCTCCATGGGTGTCAAGTTTGTCTGGATGATATAGCACCCAAACGCTTTAAGCAATAGGAGCTAACCAACTCGCAGACACAGTTGTAAACACTCTGGCTTAAAAAAGCATACTGTGGATAATGCATATTTTGTGACAAACAGTATCAGTGGTCCTGCTATCCTAAGATAATGAAGCATTCTCCTGGATAACAAATCACGAACAAAAGAAAATCAAAATGCTGTATTCCATTGTTGAAAGAACAGTTAGACTAGTTACTTGACCAACCCAGAAATGCTCTCACATGGCCACGCGTATATAGCCTCTGCCAGGGAAGTCCTACTCACTGCCTTCTCGTGGCGGGGGTGTTGTTTACAAAATGGAGAGAACGAAAAGCGAATGTCCGGTGCTTTAACCGGGTCGGTGGACACGGCGAGTACACCTAGGGGAGTTGGAAAACGTTGATTCCAAACCAATGGTGCACATGGGCTACAGCATCCTGAGGGAACAAATGGCGTATGAATCAATTGTTGGTCACCGGCTACGACGGGACTGCATCTCCTGACGATGCTCCACTGCCTTATGGATCAGACCTTTTAGGTTGAATGCTCGGGGTATGGCCCCCTAAGAAAACCACCTGCTTCAGTTTGGGCACCTGGGCAGTATCACAGCCCTCACACAAATCGAATGAGATTTGTGCGGCGCATATCTATTTGGTGCTTCCTTGTACCAATATATATGTGTTTAAATAAAATAAAAGATTTCAGGTCTGCTAATGCATTTTCTCAAAATACCTGTCTCACTTCCAGTAATTGTTGCGTTTTAGCTCAAAACTCTAGCAACAGTGGTCAGTCGATTCCACATAATCAGTCTGAAACAACTAAAGACTCTTCATTTGAATCACTTATTCTGTCAGGCATAAAAATAAAATTCAATGATCAATGCCATATTTCGTTTCTCAGGTCAACCAGTAATGGTTAAACCTAATACATTCAGACTAAAGAATCTTATCTCAGAGAAACTATTGTTTCAATTTCTCGATACCGTTCATGCTTCAACGTTTCAGGTGTGTCGTTTTGATCTTAACCCAGTAATAATATAATTACTCATTCATTGGACTAACTAATGATACGAAAACTAAAAATCGCCAATACATCTATCAATGTTGGAGCTTACTCATTTCAGCGTAGTTATATCGTCAACTTCCTGAGACAAGTAGGAATGTTGAACGTGTGCTCCACCTAGGAGTTGAGGTCCACAACTTAGCTCTCAGAAGGCGATTTAGTAAGGCTGACTGTATCTATGTATTAAGCTATAGAACACCTATAGATGGATGGTAGGGATTACATTTCCAAGTTACCTAAATCACTCGTTTAATGTATATACATAGTCTTTAGATGATGATGTAGTGTATACTTTTGGTATAGTTTTAGGAATATATATGCATTATCTTGACGATTAAGTGGCATCACTGACATGATGTATCTCAAATCCGTCGATTCCCTGCATAATAACCTGTGTTGTGTGGTCAGTATAGGTAGTTTGGCTTTCATTTATAACCTTCCCAAAACAGTCTTCATGCCGATGCATACTATTAACGGGTTTTTAGTTTCAGTGTTTTGTTACGTGTCCTAGTTTGTCATCTTATCTAAGCCACTAATACTACATATAGGCTCACCAAGTAACGATGCGTATCGAGCCTAATATGTCCTAGCGGTTTTGAAACCTTGTGCTCTACGAACTCATTCTATTGGGAAATAATTTCAGTGATTTTGTTTTCCTGTAAACGCATGTTCACTTCATCGGTTTATTCGTCCAGTTCAACGTAAGTGAATTCAGGAACCCAAGGGATGACCATAAGCGCCATTGATAAAAATCTTACGTTATGAGTTGCTGCCCTATCTTCTGTCAACTTCTTGTTAGACTTTTCGTTTTCATGTAATATCCGCTTTTTATTCACAAAGTGAGTTACATTTTTCTCTAACACTTTTCGGTCATATCTCTTGAGGATACCTATCTTATTCGTTTCAGTAATTCACTGTGAAGCAATAACCTCGTAGCTTAGGCAATCAATGTTCATGCATTTAGTTATATGTCTAAACTACTCACCACCTACTTCGATTTGACAATCAGCTGTTATCACTAACCACCTCAAAACAGAGTACATGGACATATCAATCATTGTCCATATAGGACGTAGAACGAATGTATGCTTGTTCCAGTTCCCATCGCAGATCAACTAAAGGGGAAATCAACATGACGGTAAACTGAGGGTGAATAACAATTAATCTAATGGGAGGCTAATCACGACAAATAGTTCCCAAAGAACGAAAGTAACCCAAGTATGGAAAGTATAAAATGAAACCAAGCTCAAGATTTTATGGAAAATGCAGAATAAATGTGACTCCAGTCTGTTTGAAATCGTGTTACACAATGTCCAACCATAGACTAAAATATTGTGCAGACTCCAACTACGAAGTTTGAACCTATTGACTCGTTCCAGCGTGACAGTAAATAACTTCATAGATTGATACTATGTTTGGATTTGTTCGGCCCTGAACTCCCTCCTTAATTGAGTATCATCAAGCATTGCTCATCGAAATGTCCAGTGTATGTCCCGACCACAGTATCACTAGTATATATATTCTTTTGAAGGATGCTTTGATGATCCTGGATCCATGAGACTCCCATTATGTATGTGCTTCTCGTGCTTCTTTGGACAGCATCAGAGCAACTCCTTAAGTGTGTGAAGCATTTTCCTCTTCGTGACCGGAGTACAGCATCATCTCTCCTGTACCTAAGTTTTTCTGTCCAGTTTCATTTACTCTGAGAACCGCCAAGTTGTATCTTCTCATTTACGTAGCTATTTGACTGGTCTTCCTGGTCTCCACTGTCCGAACATTCCATGTACTTATATTAATTGTTGCTCTGTATTTTAGAAGGGATATTGACCTCGTGACTTCCAAAAAATCTCGTCTTTCATCATGAGGTTTCATAATTATTTCTTCAACTCCCCGGACAGCGTTTAAATGATTTAATTTGTTTATTCTGGTTAACGTTGGTTTTGCAAGGTCGTTTTTTACTGGATGGGGTTTCTGACCCCATACCCAACCCTTTTCCCTCATCCGGACTTGGGACCGGCAGTAACCCTAGAAGAGCTACGGGCGGAGTTGTTATTCGATGTACTTACATTTTAATTTCCAGAAAAGCAAATTGACAGGACTTGAGTTGTTTCTTATGTGTGTCGATATTCCGTTGACTGCCAACTCATTAAGGCTAATAATTTTTTCATGATAAGTAAAGTAGTCACTGTGGTTATTTAATTCACTTCATATGATCGAACCGAGCATTGACACGAGCCAATACTGAATCATTGGATCATATTTTCACTCAGGGCATTACCTAGTTTCACTGTCTGAGATGTTGCTGTTGAGCTATTCGGTCTGGAATTAATCTTCTGTTGGGGTATATATTTGCATTTGACTGATTATTGAATTTGACGCACTATATATAAGTTTAGTAGTTTTAAAATAAACGTTTTTCTTAAAATGATAAGTCGGATTCATTAAGTTATCTTCAATCTAATAGCAGCAGTGTATCCTTGTTATCTGTAAACATGTAATCGTCATACCAATTAGGTTATTCATCTTCCTGGATTTTATATTTCATCTAGAATTCACAATTGAATTTTATAGCATTATTTTCACCAAGCGTATAAGTTGAATTATTCCAAGGATACTGTATACAGTTCAAATTATGATCCCATCATTATGGATCACATGTCATTCCAATGGTTCTTGCGTTACTGTCTGACAAAAGACATCCAGAGTGTTTTACTTTCGGCAAACGACAACCGCATTCATTTTTGGTAAATTTTGAATTCGTTTTACTGTCGCTTTTTGACATATAACCACCTAGATTGTACATAGACTTGTTTTTTTTTTCGAATTGACGGCTGTCTTGTGTCAGTTGGTTGGAGAACAAATTTCAATTACCAGTTACTAGTTACTTTTTCCATGCTTTTTTCAATCAGTCGTACAAATAAAGCAATGTCATACGTCTTTTGAAGTCCATCTGTCTCACTGGCTACATTAAACTAGTCGAAAAAGTTCAAACGGAAATCAGTTGTTGAGAAACTTGACATTAAATTTATTTTATTTTGCTAAATTTCATATGAACAAAATTCTTTCACTCTGTTTATTAGGTCTCCAACCACATTCTCGTAGTAAAGGACCCATGCCAAATATTTATCCCATCAACACTGATGAACCTATAGATTTTGTGGACAACGATTCGGATGATGACATTGTGCTTCCAGAAATGGCACATTGTGCAGGTCCTGCTTGCATGCTGGCGGCTATTCCTGGTGAGAAATACTGTTCAGAATCCTGCAAACTGAAACATACCAAGTATGTCCTCTGTTTTTCCACTTTCCAACAATACCATGAACTAGGTCGATTACTAAGATTTTTTCAATTTAAAGAAATGTTTCTTTGGAATACTTATATCAGCCGAAGAACCACTGAAAATAGAGAATTGCTATACAACCGTTGTATCGTGACTTGAGACTCAGAATTTCTCACCCACGACTCGACCCGGAATAAAACTCAAGGCCTTAGGGTGTCGACACAGACACGACGCTATTTTTGGTTTTTCCGTCGAAACTCAGTGTTCTTCTTGAAATTCGATCATTGCATAAAGTGGAATGATCAATAGTGGCTAACTACCTCACCTATTGGTTCAGGTTTTCGGTTACAGCTTTTTGTTGTAACTGCTGAAAATGTATTTAGTAGCACACTTACTATTTAGTTAGGTGGTTTGTAGAAGTTCTCTCAACTCGAAATCGTCTGTTGCTTAGACGTTAGATTTTGATACACTAGGCTCAATTTCTTGTACTGTCGTGGATACTCACTACTCTGAATTACCGGACCCGAACGAAAAGTTTGCTCGTTTCTTTAGTTTTCAGGTCCTATGTTGTAAGCCACCTTAAGAATCATATTTTGTTCTTTGCATTCCTTTTTAAACTTTGACTTTTGCTCATCAACTATCATCTTCGTCATGAAACCATAAATGCTCTTCATTTTTGATCATTTGGTTGACTGGACTTTATTATATGGATTCTAAAGTTTCATAAGTGTATCCATATATTTCGTTTGACTTCCCCAACATATAAAGGCTCTCTTGCAAATACCAGTTTGCCGCGATTGTGTATCGTCAGTGTATTATAGTCATTATATATAAGGTAATCGGGTCCTGTAAATGCTCATCGTATTAATCTTACTGTTATTATCCAACCGTCAAATTCCAACACAGACAGATCCTCCAACTGATGTCATTTCCTAGTGAAAACTTTTTAAATATGATAACTGACTACTCACAAGTAATACTCTTGTGTAAGTCAATTTTAATCAGGCATGCAATGTGGAACCCATACCATTTCGAGTTGTGCAGGTCCACATAAGCACACCAGGAAAACTTATTTGTTTAAACATAAATATCGACCAAAAGGGGTACCAAAATACATATGCGCCTCACAATAAAAATGGCATTCTGAAAAGATAAAGAGAGGGAGGCGATCACAATAAAAAAGGGACAAAAATGAATAGAAATTATTTTATGGGATTACAAGAAAGAATAATGGGAGAAGCAATTCAGTTAAGGAAATTCATCTCACTTATATGAAGGAGATAATTGATAATTACAGCATAACCGCCACTGGCTTCTACTTCAAGCCGTCAGACAGCATCTCAAGCCACTGTGTTGCACTATCTCTAGGACCCCAACCAGGGAGCTGTCTAAAACCAACAGATCCCAGTCTTTCATAGCTAATTTTCATAGAACTACACCATGTCATGCACTGACGACCTCTCTGACTTTTCCAACTAATCCTAGCGTTAGCAAGCAATGTAGAACTTGTTGAGACGACATTCGTAACACGTGTCCAGACCACCGAAGTCAGTGTTTCAAGATGGTGTCAGCAATTGAGTTATTGTCGCTCCAAATTACTAACATGGTGCTGCCACTGAATATCAGAAATCATTTGGAGGCAACGATGACCAAACACTGAGTCGCTTAACATCCTCAACTTGGAGAGGCCAGGTTTCACAAAAGCAAACGAGAACCGCTTTCACCGACGTGTTTTAGGTTCAACCTTTTACAACCGAACTAGCATCACGATCACACAGATTAGACTAACCTGCTCTGGTTTTCATTATTCATGAGTCGATTTCATCATTTCATGCCACCACCATCACACACAGCTATCCAGATACACAAACTACTCGACTACTAACTGTTGAATACCAAGATTGAGCGTAGGCATAGTGTCCTGCCAGTATTGTAAAAGTACTTTGTCCTTAGGAGGTGCAAAGCACATGTCATGATTACGGACACTGATTGCCAACTGATTAAGTGTGGATTCCATTGCTTGATTATCATCTCACAATAAAATAATATCCGTCTGCTCAAGGTCGAAGATTCTCTCTAGGTAACAGATCCGCATTACCATTATATACATCCATCAGAACTGTTTCCAGAATGTCATCGATGGCAAAGTTGAAAAAGAATGGCGAGATTGGATAATCCTGTCTAATCCCACTGCTTGAATGGGACAATGGAGAGAAGTGGTTGTATGCTTCCACTCTATCCGAGGTGTTTGTATATAGACCTTTCAAGATGTTAGTAAATTATTCACGCACACTCTTCTTCAACAGACAATCCCAGAAAAAAATTCCTGTCCAACTAATCAGCCCAAATGCCAAGAAACAACGATTGCTGGCTTGTGATAAGTCCTAACATTTGGCGGAGGGTGAAGATATGATCAATACATCCTCGACCGGAACGAAAACTAGCCTGCCGCTCGTAAGCCAATCTTTCTCGGATTTTGAAAAACCTACTAAGTATAGCGGAAGTCAACAGTTTGAACGCGATTAGAAGTAGACTTATCCCTGGATAGTTGTTACATAGATGACGTGAACCTTTTTTAAAAATAGGAATAACTATCGACTCATTCCACAATGTTGGGACACTTTCTAATTGCCAGACATTTGTAAACAACTCAGTCAGTTGCCTCAGAAAGTCTCTGCCATCTTTAAAAACGGTCAGAGGTAAGTCGTCTGGGTCTGGTAATTTGTGGCGCTTCACGGATTGGAGTTCCTTGCGGACTTTCACCTCGTTACGTAGATCAGTCATCACAGGCCATGGAGGACAGAGCAGTGTGATCGATGTCTTCGTGACAGCAGACCAGTTAAACCGCTCTTCGAAAAACTCTGTCCATCGTCCAAGACGTCGGTAGATGTTATTGGTTGGCATCCTGTCAGTTGGTGCTTCTGCTTCCAACTCGTTATTAAGCTCCAACCACCAAGCTTCTCAGTATTTACGCAAACTTTCCACAATTTCGTTACTTTATAACAACCAAAATACATTCATTGAATTATTCTGTTCACTTTATATTTCCTATTTATAACTTTCAGTTCTCGCTGCTCTGTTCGTTCGGCTGTTTCTAATCTCCGTCCTGCAATAACTACTATTTCACCCCGTGAAGCTAATCCTATTCCGTAAGTGTATATCGGTAACATATTTATTGTTGTATGTATTCTCCCCTTAAATTCGAGCTATAGAACCTGTTTATAATTTCTCAGTTATTCCTATTGCTTAGTATTCCTGGACACTACTTCACTCGACAAGTCCTTAAATTAAAGCACGGTTGAACAGGAACTAAATTATATTTCAAATGAAAAAAAGTAGATGGGAGCAGGAATTGCAATAAGAATAACGTTAGTATATTTATAGTTTTACATGAGAAGATTCTATAGTCTTCAAGTATCCACCAAAACTCATTGGATAAGAAATAGCCAATCAGCGTGCACCAACACAATCGTGCACGGAACGTTCTTTGATCCAATCTATATACCGCTAACACAACCCGAGGTTCCTTGTTCATGTCATGACCATTGACTCCATTGATCAAAAGTATTTAACCACTCTCTACCGGTTAAGTGATCTGGCGCAAGACTGGTAGGTCCTGGTTTCGAATCTCTCGAAGCGAGGCCGTGGATACGCACTTCTGAGAAGTCCCACAATAGGGCGAAACGGCCGTCCAGTGCTTCCAGGTTAGCTGCTTCAGTTTGGGCACCTGGGCAGTATCACAGCCCTCATACAAATCAAATGAGATTTGTGTGGCGTACATATATCTGATGCCCCCTTGTACCAATATTTATGTGTTTAAATAAATAACCACTCTGAAGTTATTTCATTTTTATATTCCAACCAGTACTAGACTATAATTATCCATATTTGAAGTTACCATAATCACTTCAGAAATATATTTTTTAGAAACGCCGTGTAAGCTGTGTGCAATACCTATTTTGTCAGCTGCCGAAGCTATCTGACTACATTATCCTTGGTCTTTGATCAAATGCTAACCCAACGACTCACTAGTTAAAAGCTAAATACAGATGATTCACAGTTCCGTTTCTAATTGCCTCAACTGCCCCGTGAATAAGCACATTTCTTATTTAAGAAACTTCATATTGTGATCCACAGATTATAAAAAGCACACAAAGATCTAAGGCCATGTAAATTGTCATTATCTGATCGTAGATTAGAAAAAATTTTGGTTTTACATTTTCACCTCGATAACTAGGCAGGAGATATTGTTCGGGTGTGCGTTTGGAAGCTGACGTTTTGTACCCTCATCATTCTTTACAGTCTTTTATGTAAAGAGCCCATTATTTTTTCCTAACTTCCATTAAGGTGCATGTGATGTGAATGAGTTGGTCAGAGTAGTTTTCATTATGATTCCATATCATTTTATGTGTCTCTGGAAATGCTGGTTATACATGGGAACTCGTTATTCCCACCACGCTTCAACGTCTTCCTGAGGCGTTACCACTATACTATTCACGGATTGAAAAGCGTGTTCGAATCCCGTAGGGACATCAGTTCTCTCAAGATTATAGGTAGACCTAACCAACTAGTAGCAACTAGCGCAGAAACTGGGTCCAGATTTTCCTCCTGATTGCTTCCAACCACTAACACCAAAACATATTGCGCACGATATTGAGTCACTTATACTAGTGTCCACATTCGATCTTGCCTAACAGAATTCAATCAAAATTAAATAAACATAACATTGATTACTTCTCAATGTGGAATTAACATTAATATGTCAACCTTACTGGAGGTTCGGGGTTTCCTGTTGATCGCTTCCAGCCACCTACCTAACTAGCAGTCTGTAAAGTTTCTTACCTCCTAATCCAAAAGTTATAATCATCATCGAGCTCTCACTTATGTTAACAGTAAACACTCATTTGTACTGGTGTGACATATTGGTGCAGATATTCGCCTACTATCTTGGTCACTGTAGACTCATTACTTCACTTACTGTTCTTTCAGTAGTCTCTTAACAGTATATCAAGTACCTCTCCTCCTATACAATTTATTTGTTAGCAACTTCGTTTTATTATAGTTAACGAAATCTCTTGGTTCAGATATAAAATATCAATGTCAAATGTGTTGTACTATTCTATCGATCACTCTCTGGTTTCTTTTAGTCCAGCACACTTTATTGAGTTTTCTATATCTAATCCTCTTATATACAAACGTTTAATCAAATGACCTTTTTACTACTATCTTGTATACAAAATCAATGTGTTTTTCTTTTATTTAGTTACTCTTTACCATATCCAGATCATATGTATTGTCGCCATCATCGTGTTCAGAATTGGAATAATACTGCATCTCCATCCTACAGAACTACAAATCAACCTTTTGACCAGTTCTCTATTGATCAGGCTTACATTACTAGTGATGGCTTACTTCAGTCACGTGGACATCCAACATTTGGATGCTCTTCGGGACCAGTTCATAGAATTACACCACAGCGACATGCAAATTCTCATCCTGTTTTGATCAATACTAGTAGTCGATTGAATAGCGTGGATACTCAAGGTAATACAATGATTTGTGACGTTGCTGATACCGCTGCATTTATGGATTCTGTGGCTTCAGCAGTACGTAGAAGTAATAATCATGGGACAATAAATGCATTTGCTGAAGAGCTTGGCATAGATTTACCATCCGCTCATCCTTCAACCGGAACTCGTTTATCGTCTTCACCTAGTTTATCTGGAATTTATTCTTGTTATACTGGATCGAATCGTAGCGATAATATTCGACCTGTTGATTTACATGCTGTAGATGATGATACTGAACTACCACCAGGAGTGGATGATGATGAAGCTGATGTCAATCAAATAGTTTCCGAAGTAGGCGGACATCCTGTTTACGGCTATTATATGATTAGTTACGGCAATGAAACCAACGGTCATAATTCACGTGTTTCCTTGACTAATGCTTCTAACCCTACACTAAATGAACATCGTATAAGTACAGGCTCTTTACGTGCCAGAACGAATATCCGCCACCTTAATCATAGAATGATAAATCAAAGTAACGGTGAATCAACAAATGGTATCCCTGGATCTTACACTTCTAATCGAACGTTGTCAGTTGGCAATGTAAATTTTCGGCATACAAACTTAAATGTTATCCCAGGAACAGTAAGTCAGGATAATTGTTTAAGTCCATCCGGATCCACCGGTGTCAGTGACATAGGTGTTTCTAATATAGGATCATCAGTATCCAATTCCAATGTAGCGCCTCATACTGTTCCTGGTTATATACCTGGTCCCGATGAATTCTATACAATCAATGATTCAGATGACTTAGAAATCAATTGGCCACAAGAAACAGTCGCTGGAGTAAATGGTTAACTTTTAATTGTATTATATCCTTCAAGATGTTCATCACTTAATATAGAATTATTGCTTAATAAATGAGTGGCCTCATCTAGGAGCTGTTTTGCGTATATATCTTTCCTCTTTTGGAAATTGGTATTTTTCTCGATAAAAGATCTATGCTGTAACGGATAAATATCTGTCGCATTACAGTGACCTAAAACCCTATGACCTCTGTTTACCGCCCCCCCCGCCACATGTTTTACTCATCATTACATTGCAGTGTATTAAGTTGTCAGGTCTCAAAATTCTCTGTATCTATGTTGCTTATCAGATTTGTTTTGTGACTATTTGTTTAATTCCTTTTCTTTTGCTTAAACAACAACAACATCGATAATTTTGCCTTGTATACATACATGTCATACTCCTTATCAATGGCGCCAAAAAAACGGTTCATTCAGAACAATCTTGTACATATAAATAGCTCGTCTTTTAACTTTTTTTTGTTTTGTTTTTAAAAACACATATATGTATATTTTTGTGTTTTTTTTTATTAACTACGTGTATCTATGTACACGTTATTCTTTATGTTTTTGACACAGTGTGTGTGGGGGGGGTATATTGGGAAAAACATACCACTCTGCACAATAATATTATAAACTCAAAATGTGTCTTTTATTTCCTATCTAACCAGAACTATCTATATATCTGTTGTTGTTATTATGACTTATTAGTCTTAGTGTTTCTTGAATTGGACTTTCTTATCACACACACACACACACACACATCATCATCATGAATTGATGAAGATTAATTCATCTTATATATCTTACTCTTTACGAAAACATTATACAACTTTCCCGCTATTGAATTTTTCTTTTCATTCTTTGAAATTTTATTCTTGTAACTATTTCATTACTTTTCTACTACTTTCTATATTCAATTCAATATAATCTCTACTATTACTAATTACTGTCATTACTATTATTATTATTATCATCAGTAGTAGGGGTAGTAGTATTAGTAGTATACACAGTAACTGTATAGTAATGATGGGACTATAATCTTTTTTTTAATACCTTATCTCATTTCTTTTCAATTTTCAGTCTTTGTAAATAATATATATATTCCTATATGTATACGTTCAATCAATAAAGAAAAATCATATTTTAGGTGTTCTTTTTTCTAACAATCATATCATGTGTACATAATGACGAGGGTAACCGATTCAAATGATCAGACATGTATATGTATATATATATATATAGAGGTTATTGTTCCCTTTATTGACAATTATCTATCTATGTAACTGTATAGTAACTATAATGAATAATAGGAATATTATTAGTTGTGAATGATATTGAAGATTGCTAACACTATCTGTACAAATAGTTGAATTCTCCATCTGTAAAGAAAAAATATTAAGATAAAATATTTATATCATATTAAATATGATCACAGTTACATCAATTACGTAATATTAAATGTTGTCGTTTAATTCTGTGTAGTATTCAATGGATAAGTTTACGATATAATGAAAGAGGTAGAATATGATGTGCCTCCAAATGTCCTGGTACGGTCAAGAGTGCGAAGAGTCCGCTCTCTCTCGCGATGTTCTCACATGGCCATATGTATATAGCCTCTGCCACACAAGTCCTACTCATTACCTTCTCGTGGCGGGAATGTTGTTTACGAAATTGAGAGGACGAAAAGGCAATGTCTGGTGCTTTAACCGGGTCGGCCGATATGGAGAATCCACCTAGAGGATTTGGAAAACCCTCATTCCAAACCAATGGTGCACATGGGCTCCACGATCCTTAGGGAACAAATTGCGTATGAATCAATCGTTGGTCACCAGCTACCATGGGACTGCATCTCCTCACGATGCTCCACTGCCTTGTGGATCAGATCTTTAGGTCAAAGGCTCCTAGTGTGGTCCCCCAAGAAAACCACCTGCTTCAGTTTTAGCAGCTGAAGAGTATCACAGCCTTCACACAAATCAAATGAGATTTGTGTGGCGCATATATATCTGGTGCTTCTTTGTACCAATATTTGTGTTTAAATAAATAAATATGGACAGACCAATCAGAATTCAGATAGCGATTTTCGGGTTCCGACACAAAATTGACTGATCCATGTGGCTAAAAACAGTTTTGGAATTATAGCTAATGTGAGTTCGTGATAAAAAACCTTAACTGTAATTCCTAACCCCAACGTCTAACTTTAAATCCTGATTCCTCAATGACTCTTTTGACCCCAACAAGTAGTGGAATTTTCTCAAGGTCACTATTCTATCCACTTAGAGGTCATCTATAATTATAGTTTCACAAAATTTAGATAGTACACAATCAAACTGAATATGACATTGTATGTTAAAGTATTTGATGTGATTCAGTGGATGGATTATCAATGGAGTTTGTGTAGTCTAAATGTACATTGTTCTATAATCAATTACTGTTTACCATGTAGTGACCTACTTTTGTGACGAGAACGCGATTGGTATGATGAAAACAATTATTATTATAACCAATTGTACCAGTGATTGTTTTACTGTACTTGTTTGTTTAAGTATACAAAATACACTTTTCCTTCCGTTGCCTGTGACCTTGCACGAACTTGCTTACGCTTAGCAGTTCCGCTTGTAAACTTAGGCACGATCTCGGTATAATTTCGATACCACGAGATTGCCAACAAATATATCTTATTTCAACCGTCAGCAAGTTACTGGTTTTTGGCTTACCGAGGGATCAAACTCGTTATCTGGTATATAATCTTCTTGTAGTAGTGATCATAGTCAATCGTGACTCGACACCATCTACAACCGATTGACCGATATAAAACGTTCAATATTCTCAATATATGTTCACTATGTCGACTAAAAGGAAGATGTTTACTGTTAAACTGCTGATCACTTAACATAGTATTTCTGTCGATAATGAAAACTGTCTTGTTTCTTCATATCCGTGGAAATGTTTGACGCTGACATTATACAACTGAACGTTTCCTCACAATCAACTTCTAGATGATCTGATCAAATCGAGTTTACAAGTACATTAAAATAAAGGATGCCGGCTTAGTGGTCTATCGGTTAAGGGTTCTGGCTCGAGACTGGTAGGTCCTGGGTTCAAATCTCGCGAGTGCGGGATCGTGGAAGCGCACTGCTGAGGAGTCCCATAATAGGACGAAATGGCCGTCCAGGTTTTCCATGGCGGTCTACCTTCAATTGACTCATGATTTCAACTTTGGAAAAAAAAGTGTTTATACAAAGCATAATTACAATTATGGAACTATGAACTTACTGAATCATCGACCATATTACATTTATTTGGCATTAATGGATGTTTTCGATATGCTACTGGTCTTGGTTTTGATTGATCTGGTATATTAGTTAACAAACAATATTAAGGAGAAATATACATTATATCAATGAAATAATGAATTGCCGCCATATTAGTTGTTCATTAAGATATTCACCCAAGGAAGTTAGTTTATCAACGATGATATCAATAATGAATGAAGATATGTGATTATCCATGTAATGTTCAGTGTCATGATACTTATATCATTCCATAAGTAGAGTACAGAAATTTCAGTTATAAGGTATTTCATCAACACCTTAAATACTTGTATCTTCCCATATGCCAATAAGAGACTGATCAAATACAGTCCTAAATAACAATGGGAAGATACAAGTAAACAATATCAAGTGAATTAAAAACTTTACTCGATTGCACAAGCAGATAGCTATCAGGACTCAGTAGCCAAGTGGATAACGCGACAACGTTGGGTTTGAGTCTCAGAGTGAACATCAACTCAGAGATTTAGGTACATCTAGCTGACGAGTCCAAAATAGTACGAAACGCGCATTCTGGATTCCACTGCTAGCCGCTATCCATCTTTAATTAAAGTTACGGTTTCTTTTTTTTTGTTATATATAAACATGTGTGAACTTGGGATTTTGAATGATCTTTACGACAATAGTCTTTACTCAACGTAAGCGAAATAACTTGCAGTTAGGTTTCGAAAGTGAAAACGCGTTGATACTGCACAAGCATCTATTCAGTTGATCTATGAGGTATTGATGTTATGCAAACAAAAGAAACTATTAAAGATTCAAATGTATTTATGGTGTTACCTTTTTTTCGATGTTTTAGAGGATAATTTTTTAGCCAGTTGGTTTTCTACGGGATGGGTTAGCTAACCCCATGCCCAACCTTCCTCCTTTACACGGGCTTGGGACCAACAGTAGCCCCCGGAGGAGCTACAGGCCGATTTGGTTGAGGCATCATACTTATTACGTTTGAAAGTGTTTATAGTGATTATGAAACTCTGTTGTATTCTTATGGTGAAACTAGGGTTATGCTGACTATCTCTTAGATAACATCATTTCAAGTGTGTTAATTTACTGTTAAATAAATACTATCCATTGACTAGGTACCAGTGTTTTTTCATCCACGTATCCGTTGGAATTCATCAGATTGTATGAAACCAATTATTGTGCCTAAATACGAATAATCGAATTAACGGTTTTCGTTTTTTATATAGAATTTCACTTTTCAGGGAATTTCTACTGGATAAATATAATATAGACAAATCATAAATTTTAGTTATAATACTTGATGGATTTCTTTCATTTCATGGTCTAGAAGTGCTGTGAGGTAGTTTCGAAGCGCTTCTACTGTCTCCGTAAAGACAATCCTAACCATTAACTAACAAGTTAAAGAGCTACACATATTGATAGCCCCATAATGCCCTGGTACGGCCATGAGTGGGAAGAGTCCGAACTCCTTCTCCAAATGCTTTCACATGGCCACGAGTATATCACCGTTGCAAGCTAAGTCCTACTCACTGCTTTCTCATGGCATTAATGTTCTTTAAAAAATTGAGAGAACGAAAAGCGAATGTTCGGTGCTTTAACCGGGTCGGTCGATATGCAGAATCCACCTAGAGGAGTTGGAAAACCCCGACTCCAAACCAATGGTGCACATGGGCTCCACGATCCTGAAGGAACAAATGGAGTATAAACCAATCGTTGGTGACCGGTTACCATGGGACTGCATCTCCTGACGTTGCTCCACTGCCTTGTGGATTAGACTTTCAGATCATAGGCTCGGGGTGCAGCCCCCTAAGAAAACCACCTGCTTTAGTTTGGGCATCCAAGCAATATCACAGCCCACACACAAATCAAGCAAAACCTCACTTTTGGAATTATAAGCAAAGATGGATAGTGGCTAGCAGTGGAATCCAGAACGCGCGTTCCATCTTATTTTAGGACTCAAACAAACAATATTAAGTGAATTCTTCCTTTTGGAAGTTTACATGACAAGAAATTCCTTAGGTAACGTTTCTCAAAATGAAAAAACAAAACAAAAAAAACTCGACTACTCTTCCTAAAACTTAGATCATTATCGTAAACAAAGATGGCTAGTGGCTAGCAGTGAAATCCAGCTGGACGCGCGTTTCGTCCTATTTGGGACTCGTCAGCTGGATGTGTCTGCATCTCAGAGTTGATGTCCACTCTGGGACTCGAACCCAGTACCTTTCGCTTCAAACGCCATCACGTTATCCACTCGGCCACTGAGTCCTGATAGCCACTTGCTTGTGCGATGGGGTGAAGTTTAAATTCGCACAGTATGCACATATGCCAATTAGAGACTAACCAGTTGCAGTCCTAAACATCGATGAGAAGATTCAAACGAACAATACTAAATGAATTTAGATCATTATTATCAATAATAAATTTCATAATTAAGGATATTTGCTATACGTGCACCATAACGAAATCTTTTTTGACAATTGCATTTGCATAGAACCGTTTGTGATCCAGATAAAGCTACATTGATTAATAAGAATAAATTTGTTTTTGGTATTTTTTTAATCCACCAACGTCTAAACATAAAAAGGAAACATTTAAAGAAATAATTAGTATCACAGAAGGAGGGTTTTGTGGATATTATGGTAATTTTTAATAATTGAGATCATGAGTCAATTGAAGGTAGACTACCGTGGAAAACTTGGAAGCACTGGATGGCTGTTTCGTCTTTTTGTAGGATTCTTCACAAAAAACCCCTACTGATATTAATCAACATATGTTCACTAGTGACTGACTCCAAGAGGTATTTCATGGAGTTCTAGTGAGAAGCAGTGACC